TGAAATCTCAAGGTCAACTGATCAGCCCATGCTGGCAAACGTGAAATTCCAAATAAGGCATTTAACAAGCGAGTCTTGGGGATCTAACATCCCCAACACTCAACCGTCCTCTTCTCCCAGAGTCTTCTACACCTGGATCCTGAATGATAAACGAAATGCTGGAAGTGTGGAGAAAACGTCTTTCTCCCTAGTTCATCTCATGTATAAGAGATCTCAAGGGTGGAAAAACTTTTTGGAAGAGCATATCAAAATCGTCAATGAAACTGATAATTTAGATTTCGACCAATTTGGTCTCGTGTGCTGTTACGGGTATGAGAGCGGTTGTCACTTCCCAGCTGCCCACACAGTGGTAGGTTGTTTCTTGAGGGACCTGGAAAGGAAGATAGATTAGTGTAGGTTTCGGAGACCTGGGAGCGTGACCGTAAAGCTGAAGGAACAACTGCTTGAGGCCGGTCACACACGGCTTTTTTATGAAAGGTTTTTTTGAGTATTAGCTCCGCTCTTGAAAGCCCTTAGTGGGCACCCTTACCGACAGAGACGGAAATCCGTGAGGTATGTTGAGGTGTGACATTTTTGGGGTCGAGCTATTCTAACCCTACTTTCCTTGTGAGAAGGCAACATCGCTGCGTATGCTGGTTGTCCGAGGGAAACACCTTACTGCTGTCACACCCCTCTCTGCAGTCAGCAGTACAACTTCGCCCTCAGACGTTGAGTATCTGCTTTTAGTCTCATCGTTCTCCAATCGACCTGCCTGGCATGGTAGAACCTTCAGGAACATAAGTTCCAGCCAATTTAGCCCGGTTGGGTCATCACGTTAGGAAAGCCCGACTACCACGTCAAGGTAGCAATTTTTTTTTTTTTTTTTTTAATCCTAATCTTCTGGATTCTTCTACACCTCTAGTTTTGACTTTCTAAACTTTTCTTACTGAATCACACTTCTTGAATAATATCTTCTAATCCTAACCTCTCTTCTACTATTGGATTTGAATTGACAATTACATCTCTGTGCTGATGTGGTATGGCAACATGAACTAATGTACTTATGTACAAAGTTCTAAGTTGCATCTGACTGACTGATAATTTAGAATTTTGTTGAATGTTTATTAACAATTAATGATTGACTGAAAACACTGAAAACATCATTCTAGTTGGTGAATATACTACTCAATTACTCCATTATTTAAACAAATCTTATTATTATTATTATTTTCTTCATTTCAGTTGTGTATCCATTTGTTGTCTGTCATTCAGTATGAATAGTCAATATTTAGTCGCTGCTAGTCATACAGAAACAGTGCATTTATTCAAATTGGAAAATCGTTCGTAAGTCATTGAAAGCATTTTATACACTACTACTACTACTACTACTATGCTTGTGTTCACTGCAATACTGCAATAGGCTAAAAGCTTTACAATTACACTAACGAAATAAATAAATAAGGACACACTGTAGTCGATGTCTCTCATTGGTTTATGTATATTACGTACTACTACATTACAGGTCAGTGATAATTAATATTTATAAGTGTTTTTTGCAAAACATGCATTGGATTGAAAGCGTGTTTAAATGCACGGTCATGTTGGAGCACACTGATTGACCTATCCTTAGCCAATGATCATCTTTTGGTTGACAGTTGGAAAAAAAACTGTTGATTACTTTTGTGTGAAATTAATTAAAAAAAATACACTAACGTTTTTTTTTGCTGTGATTTATTCACAATTAACTTGGTTTGTTTGACTATAATCACGTACATACGTGTTGTTCAGGTTATGTGCTGATTTTGGGCACTAGTCAAGCAACTTACAGAGTATTTGAAGAATATTAAATAAATAAGAGTACCTGGAGTGAAGAAGTTTAGCGTGTTGACCGCTTCACTTATCTGAAGAGTCTCATCAGTGCTGATGATAGCCTGGTGACTGACGAAATCTCATCGCGGATACAGGAGACTCGATTGGCTTTTGCCAACTTGCTTCACTTATGTCGTAGACGATGTACTGCGCAGCAGTTCCCTCTGTTCTACTATACGGGTGTGAAGCATGGTCACTTAGAATAGAGGATGTTTGTAGGTTACTAGTTTTTGATCATAGATGTCTTAGAAGCATTGCTCGTATATCGTGGGACAACCGAGTAAGCAATGCTGTCGTTAGGAAACGAGTACTAGGTAGAGATGGCAGACCAATAAATGAAGTACTGAAACTTCATCAGTTGAGCTGATTGGGACATGTGCCTAACGACTGACTGCCTCGTTGAGCTATGTTTTGCAATGTAGGAATAGGTTGTAAGAAATCTAGGGTCTGTCAGACCAAAACATGGCAGAAATCCATGAAGTCAATGACAAGTGGACTGAGCCATATTCGTAGGTGTAGGGATTACCGCTAATACTTCTATTACATCTACTACTATGGGACTATTCTACCTCTATGTGCGCTAATGTGGTATGACTACTTGAGCTGATGTATGTACATTCGAAGTTCTACGTTGTAACTGATTGTATACATGGAAATTTTCAGCAATCAGTTTTGTTTTATACAATATCTTGTACACTATTTACATTATGCCAATCTAGTGTATATTCTTTACCTACTATCCACGTAAACATCACTGTCATACTTTCTTCTATGATCGTCTTTTTGCATATCACTCGGTTTCGTTTATTTAATCTCAACTAAATATTGTGGTGAATGTTACTCACACTAATAATTATCAGTAATATACAGCTGAGCCTCACTTAAGAGTTTCCAAAAGCATAAGTTTCAGGAAATCGAGAGCACAGCCTATTTAAGAAAGTCGAAGGAAACAGTTGATCGCCTATTTGGACTGATGAACGTATCTGCACTTCGTAGACAATCGGTGTTTTCTCCGAATATATATATATATATATATATATATCAATACCATCGTTTAGTTTAAACTACCAGGTGTTTATTAAACGCGCTCATAAGCCATTGAACCTTCGGGTTATCGAAAAATCATGATATCTTGAAATTGAAATCAAACAGTTCACATTTCTAGCTTTAGTTATATTTTATGTTAAGAAAATCATACAGTCGACCTATGTTGCGTATGCCTAACCACTGACTGCCTCAACGAGCTTTGTTTTGTAGTATAGGAATAGATTGGAAGAAAGTTAGGGGCGGCCAGACCGAAACATGTCAGCAATCCATGAAGTCATTGACAAGTGTACTGAGTCATGTCGGTAGTTGTCGATTACCTGGTTGGGGTCCGCGAGATGATAATAATCGATGGTTAGAGACCCTTTGTGACATGGCTGATAACCAGTTGCAATGGCGCCGGTGCATTCATTCTCTATGTTCTCTCAAATTCTAATCTTCTGGATTCTTCTACACCTCTACTTTTAACTTTCTAAAGTTATATCACTGGATCATACTTCTTGAACAATATCTTCTAATCCTAACTTCTCCGATTACTTCTAATACCTTTACTACCTCTCCTACTTTTGGATTTGAATTGACAATTATATCTCTGTGCTGATGTGGTATGGCAACATGAACTGTTGTATTTACGTACGAAGTTCTACGTTGCATCTGACTGACTGACTGCGCCAGTGCAAACAATTGCGAGTCGTATCATTCAAACTCTCTAACCATCGGTAATTATCATCATAAATCAGTTTCTATTTTGAGCTAATTAATGAATTGTTGTGGTATTCATTAAAACAAAAACTGACTTACTCATTACTTGAATTCTATTTTTCTATATGTTGTTAACAAATAGACATCAACTCTTAAAACAATACCTTCTCAATACATCGTGTTATTCAATAATGATTCTGTGTAGCCCTCACCATTTCTGACGTAAATTATTTTCACTGATAATGTTAATCATCATCATCACAGATCACATGTTAACGATAGTGTGATGTGTGTATATTAGAAAATGAATATATCAGTTATTCACAATTATTTTTAACTTTAATAAGATGTCTATTGATCATTTCACCATTCGAAGGCAATATTAATAATAGTAGTATGTTTGCGTCAATGTAAACAGATTAAAATGAAATTTGAATAACTGAGGTGAAGAATCAAATCTAATTTTAACTGAAGTCAACTGATTTCTTGCGGAATTTCCCTGTAAAATCATCCAGAATAGGTTGTATGAATTGAATGAATGTTTTGAAACCATATTATGTGTGTGTGTGCGCGCGCACGTGTTGGCGTGTTGACCTTGAACTGAATTGTATCAGCTGTTAGCTGCTAACCTGAAGTTTAGTTAGATAGAACAGTGGATGAAGTTGTGCAAGACCGTAGATTGATCGAATTTAGACAATAACATCGTTAGATGTCGGCTCAGTGGTCTACAGGTTAAGAGTTTGTGTGCAAGACCGAAGTTCCTCTGTTCGATTCCTGCATGTGGCAGGAGTTTGTGGATGCGCACTGCCACTGATGAATCTCATACAAGGACGAAACGGCTATCAAGTGCTTCCATGCTTCTAATGATGATCTAACAATGATTGATTCACGATTTCAAATGTAAAACAACGATCTCCGTAAGTCTATAATGAAAAAATAAAACAAAGTGTAGATAGTTGGGGCATGATACTTGAAGATGATCGTCCTACTTCTGAGTGAATAATTTTCACAAACATTCCATCTTACTGGTGAATGAACACATCCAGTTAAATGGGCTACCTGAGTTCTGATTACAGTTGAAAATAAGGTACAAAAACACCTCAAAATAATGATTTATTGTCTGAGATCGCCAGTTAATCATTGTTAGACAACCACTATTAGTCCTGGTATAGGACTCATCAGTGGCAGTGCTCAACCGCGACTCCTGCACCTCGCAGGATTCTGTTGTATCATTATGACATAATGTAATACAGTCTTTATTCCTTACCCGGTCAGAATCATCACTCCTATTCTAATCTTGACTGGGAACAAGTGTCATTTACTCATCTCATGTTACACTTCAAATCATGCATTAACTTATCTCTCTGTCTATCTCTTGATGTATTTATTCCTTTCAAACGTTATAGTTCTGAAAAACTACCTGACATTCCCGCTGATCATCATTATACAAGACAACGTACTACATCGACTAGTTCAGCAGCTAGTCAACATGTTGATGATGATGGTGAGCCGCCATCGTCTGATGATATAACTACAACTTATCCAGGATGTATGGATATTAATACTGCTGCTGGTTTAGATAATACAAATGCAATAACAACCACAACAACAACAACAGGTGGCGCTGCTGTAGCCGCAACAGCTACAATGGCCAGTTGGAGTCAAGGTTTAATGGGATGGATGGGTAGTACATTGAAAACTTATTCTGCTTATTTACCACATCAAGTCTCAGAGATATTTGCACAAGATCGTGCATTTGCCTATGCTAGAATACCATGTGCTTCAGTGACTAGTAGTAGCAGTAGTCCATTTCGTCCATTAGGCAGTGGCGGTGGCAGTGGTAGTCCTGTGACAACGTCGACTGGAGATTTAACGAATCTTCATTATCCTGGTTCCCCATCTTCAATTCCTCAAGCTGGTGGCGCTGCGGGTGTTGGTGGTGGTGGTCTTATGCAATTATCACCTGGGCAAAGGAAAGTGGCTGCACTTGTTTAGTAAGTCATTAAAAAAAAATGGGTTCATGTGTGTCTTGTCTTTAATATTTTATTGGATTTCCTTTGTTGGTTTCTTTTATTTTCTAGTCAGTCATTCAATAAACAGTTTTTATTATTCGAATGCTTTAATATGAGAGAGTAGATCGTTATTATCGGCTTTGTTACAAGCTTATCCCATTTCTATCTATCCAATGTGTTTATCTTGATTTTGAGTTATATTGTCTAGAGATACATCAACCAGGTCTGCAATCCCTGACATGACTTAAACCAATCAACGTTAATCTTAATAACTGATGTTACATTTCGGCCCAGTCATCCATCTTTAGCCTTCGGTTTAACCTGCTCCTACACCAATCGTAAAGTATGTATCAAGGTTACTTGATGCATAGGTAGGTGGTGGTCGATAAAGATTTGAATTTCAAACACAGAACCAATATGCCAATATTTAAGTAGTATCCACATTTAACTTGAGTGTTAATTAGTGATAAACATAGCACTTGTATTATGCTTCAAATACTGATATGAAAATATCTATGACCAAATATTACTAACCAACAAAAGTCACTCAGTCAGTCAGATGCAACTTAGAACATCATTTCATGTTGCCATACGACATCAGCACAGAGATATAATTGTCAGTTCGAATACAATAGTAGAAGAGGTAGTAAAGGTATTAGAACTATCCGGAGAGGTTAGGATTAGAAATATTATTCAAGAAGTATGATTCAGTGAGAAAAGATTAGAAAGTCAAAACTAGAGGTGTTGAAGAATCCAGAAGATTAGGGTTTGAGAGAACACAGCGAATAAATGCACCGGCGCCATTGCGAACGATTTTGAGCCATGTCACACAGGGTCTCTAACCATCGATTGTTATTATCTCGCGCACCCCAACCAGGTAGTCGACAACTACCAACATGATTCAGTACACTTGTCAATGACTTCATGGATTTCTGCTATTTTTTGGTCTGGCCGCCCTAAGTTTCTTCCAATCTATTCCTACCCTACAAAACAAAGCTCGCCAAGGCAGTCGGTGGTTAGGCGTAAGCAGCACATGTCCCAACCACCTCAACTGATGAACTTTCATTACTTCATCTGTTGTTCTGCCATTCTTACATAGCACCCGTTTCCTAATAACAGCGTTGCTCACTCGGGTGTCCCAGGATATACAAGCAATGCTTCGAAGACACCTGTGATCGAGAACCAGTAACCGATGAATATCTTCTACTCTCACTGGCAATGTTCCACAGCCATAAAGTAAGACGGAGCGAACTACTGCGCAGTACACTCGTCCTTTAGTCAGCAAACGGATACCTCGCCTTCGCCATAAGTGACGCAGGTTGGCAAAAGCCAATCGAGCCTTCTGTATCCGAGCTGAGATGTCGTCACAAACCAGGCCATCAGCACTGATGAGACTCCCAAGATAAGTGAAGCGGTCTACACGTTCGACTACTACACTCCCTATCACTAGTTCAGGTGCCGATGCAACCCAATCTTGAAGCAACATTTTGCATTTCGAGGGTGAAAACGGCATCTCGAACATGCTCGCATTGTTGCTTAGGGTGGTCAGAAGACTCTGCACTTTGTCAGCGTCTTCACAAAGTAGGACTATGTCATCGGCATATTCTGAGTCAATAAGCGAGCCTCCTGTTAAAAGTAGCTTGAAGGAATATAATTTATGGTTTAACAATTACAACGAGGTTTGTTTTCCCTCCGTTTTTAGCCCAACAGTCGAACTTTAACCACACTGATTAGAGTTGATGTACTCATTCAGATTTAAATCTGGCTTCTGTAGCTACACATACTGAAACCCCACAATCTACTGGTGTTATACTAACTTTTAGTTATTCAAAATTATGTAATTAGATAATAACGGTTAGGATATTTGACAATTTTCTCTTTCAGAACTTACAATACTTTCATTGATATAAATCAATTTCTTCTCTAAATATCTCGATATGATAGAAACTAAACGTTAAATTTACGATTCATACAAGCGAATATCCAAATTACTGATGTAGGGGTGAATATCATGTTACTTACTTGCACCTGTTACCCCTTGTGAAACAGGTCACTGACCTCTGTCCTCAACTTTCCTTTCTAGTTTTACCCAATGGTTGTTCATTATTTTCATGTTTGATTCAAATTCTTGGCTTGATGTGTTCTTTGGTCTTCCTCTACTGCTTTAGTCTTGAAGATTCAAAGTCAGAGCTGGTCTTAAGACGCAGTTCGGTGATTTCCCCAATATATATGTCCTATCCATCTATAGCGCTTTTACCTCATTTCTTCCTCTGCTGGAATCTGGTTCGTTTTTCCTTGTAGTATGTTATTGCTAATAGTGTCTGTCTAACGAATCTTCAGTATCTTGCGTAGACGTCTATTTATAATCACCTGTATCTTTGAATGATTGTTCTCGTAGTTCTCCAACTTTTCGCTTTCATAGACGAATAACTTACTAAGACAATTCCAACCAGAACACACAGTTAGCTACAAAAACGATTATACGTACGTACATCAGTGTTCAGGTTTCCACGGTACATTATCACGCAGACAGATATAATTGTCAATTCAAATCCCATAGTAGTAGTGTAGTGAAGGAGAACACAGGTTGGGCAACCAATTTGTATTTGCAGAGTTACTCAGTAAAATTGGAAAACCATATCGTAAATCGTTCATTTGCAAAATATCAGTTCATCCTCCTATCGAACTGTACTGTTCCTGTTGCCAAACATCAATCCATTGTCACTATTCATGCGGTTCATACAAATTCCATTGTGTTCTAACTCTTCCTTTCTTGATCTTCCCCCATATTATGCTGCCGGACATTACGTTTACACTCACGTCATATACTACTTATAAGTAGCTCACACCACATAACCACCGGCAGCGATTGTATTGCGTACCCTAACCAAGTAATCTACTCTTATTAACATGACTCAATCCAGTTGTCTATGATTTCATTTATTTGTGCCATGCGTTGGTTTAGCCAATCCTAGCTATCTTCCAGCCTGCCTCTACATCACAAAACATTGATCGTCGAGTCAGTCGGTGGTTAGGCATACATAACACATGCCCCCCAACCACCTCAACCAGAACGAATAATTCATATATATATATATATATACCGAACAGTTTTTCCTATACAATATTAAATATTCGTAACCATAAATCGATCAATGTTGGACCACCATTAGAAACGACTCGTGGATGCGCACTGCTGATGAGTCCCATACCAGGACGAAACGGCCGTCCAATGCTTCCAGGTTTCTAATGGTGATCTAACATTAGTCGATTCATGGTTACAAATAGAAACTTAACAATCTTCACAACAACCCCGCAATGCAATTCAATATTCGATCAGTTCAAATGTGCTTTATTCACATGAACAAATCGATTCACACATCGATAATCTGCGCACAAAATGCGTATGTTTATCCGTCATTATACAACTATTAATCATCATCATAATCATCATAATTACGACACTTTACTCTTTGATAATCAATGCTTCATTGTGCACTTCTCATAGTTCTCATTGTTGTTTCGATGTTTATTGAAACTTGAAAATATCTATCTTTATTTATCTAGATGTGTGTGTGTGTATGTTTGTTTTTCTCTGTTTTCAGTTATCAAAATCAACCACGATTAATTGTTGCTGGCCTAGACGGTCTGGTGCATATTTTCTCTATTGATCCAATCCATGGTGGTGAAGGTGTTTTGATTAGAACTCAAAGGTAAATAAATACACACTTTTTACACAAAATGTGTGAAGGATGTTTGCATGTATTAGAGTACATTAGAGTACATTTTTAAATTGGACTATTTTTTTGCCATGTAAAAAGATAAATTTCGAGAAAATTTAAAAGCTTTAGAATTTAGGGGAAGATAAAACAAAATGAATACACCTGCGTCTCTAACCACTGGTTATGATTATCACGTAAAGACTCTAACCAGGTAGTCTGCACCAGTTAAAATGGCTCAGTCCAATTGTCAATGACTTCATGGACTGGTGTCATGTTTTAGTTTGACCGGCCTTAGCTTTCTTACAGCTTAACTACTATACCGAATTAACATCACTTGTCGAAGTAGTCGGTGTGATATGCTCGTCATTTGATATGCTTGAATGCTATTACGAGCTCACCTTACTCTGTAAACGGAGCGAAGACAAATGATTCAGTGACACGATAGGCTATTCTATTCTGATTGTCCTAGGCCCGGTTAACTAGATCAAGAAGTCTTGATAAGACGTAGAAAGTGTATTCTACAAGTACCCAGAAATACAAGGTCGACAAGTACACAAATCGAGCCTATTCATACATGATAGAGACGCCATTGGGAGAGCCACAAAATAGCGTACTAAAATAATCCATCAACCAATGACAGTCAAGGATTTTCCGAGTGGGAAATGTAAGTTGAAGGTCAACTAAGCGACTTTTACACGAAAACACAAAAATTCAATATTAGGACCTTTTCCAAGTGAGTTCTGGGGATCTGACGTCCCCAACGCGGTGGTTAGGTGTACGTAGTACGTGTAGTGGAGTTTCGTTCTCTGAGCTGCATGTTTTGGTTTTGGAGCTTTCATTGTTATTCTGAACAACATCATCAGCACAAACTCTAGATAGAAGTCCTAATCACTTTGGTTGTGGAACCTTCACTAATTTATCGATCAATGTGCTATCCATCGGTATCTAGTACCATGTTCCTAGTCAACACATTGCTTACTCAGTGGTCCCAAAGTGCACGAACGATGCTTCAAAGGTACCTTAAATCGAATACTTATAGCCTACGTTTATTAATAATGGCCATGTTTCACACCCGTACAGTGGAATAGAGCGAACTGTGTTGTGCAGTAAAATTGTCCCTCGATTTACAGACACCACAAGTGACACAAGTCATCAAAAGCTAATTAAATCTTCTGTATCAGTGCCAAGATTTCTTGAGACACCAAATCATCAGAACTGATCAGATAAGTGGAGTGTATAAACGCTTTCCTGCTTCACTCCCTATCATTAATTTGGGTATAGCCTCAAGTCAATTATAAATTAAAATTTTGCATTTGGAGAGAGAGAATCGCATCCTAAATATGCTATTGCTTTATTGCTTAAAGTGTTCAGAAGATTGTGTATTCTGTAAACGTAGCCACTCCATATTCGTACACAGAGAGATGAAATTGTCAATTCAAATTTCATAGTAGTTGAGATAATAGCAGTATTTAGCAGTAATCGAAAGGATTAGTGATCGAAGATATTATTCGACGAGAGAACACGAAGAATGGGGATACACATGCGCCAATGCAAACGATTTTGAGCCATATCATTCAAAGTCTCTAAACCATCCATTCCTATTGTCTGGCAGACCCTAATCAGGTAGTCTACACCTACTAATATGGCTCAGTTCACTTATCAGTGAATTTGTGCCATGTTTTTTAGTTTGGCTAGCTTCAGCTTTCTTCCAAACTACTCCTACATCACAAAACATTGTTCTTTGAGACCTACCGATTGGTTAACTAATTGATACTTCTATTCAGCTCTATATTCAAATTGACATTTTAGAAATGAAAGATTGAAATACCATTATGTAGATAGAGTCTAAAAGCTTATCGAGTAATAAGGATCAACCCTGTCGAAGACAATCGTTGAAATTGTGAGACATCCCTGTATTAATCAGAGTTAGACATTAACACCGTCGCATACCGGTCCAGAGTTTAAGCGTCCGCGCGCAAGATCGAAGGTTCTGGGCTTGATTGTTGCGATTGGCAGAAGTTGTGGATGCTTATTGCTTGATGAGTCCTATATCAGGACGAAACAGCTGTCTATTTCTTTACAGGTTTCTTCTAATAGTAGTGATCTAACAATGATTGATTCACGATTTCAATGTAAAACGGCATAAACATGTACTTGACGATCAAGTACAACCGCTCCGCCCCCCCCCCATGCTCCACCGTCTAGTGTTACTGAGATATTTGTTCAGATTGATCATGTTTGTCTAGCCCTCTTAGTATTGATTACATTCTATCGATTAATTTGATAAGTTGAAATAGAAAATAAATAAACGACTGACTATTTTTTTTTCTATATTCTTTCTGTTATTTCATTCCTAGATTACTGAATCCACTTTCAACAACAACAACTAATAATCAACCAACTAATTTATCCTCTGTAGCTATGAATCCTAATTCACCGTACGATTCAAGTTCTCTTCCAGCGTCTAATATTACTACTACTACTAATAACAATAACAGCAATAATATGTGTTCTGGTGATAATCCATCATCGAAAAATGTCAGTTGTATTCGTACTGGTGGACCACAACAACCAGGTGTTTATGCTTTACCAGCGTCTGTTGCTGCAACTGTCAATTTAACAAGTGGTGGTGGTAGTAACAGTAGTATCAGTAACAGTACTAATAATTCTAACATTGTCACAACAACTGGTAAAGTCAATACATTCGCATCAGTTGTTGCTAGTGGTTTAAAAGATGAAGGTGAGTTTTGATATCGAATCAATGCATCAATCATTCATCAGTTCACATGACTTGACTTTTGATCGACGCGAAATCTCCTTTATTTCTTATTTAAGAATAGCAGCGAAAACGAGATTACTGACTGAATGTCTGCCTGTCTGTCTGTGCTCCGATATTATTGAATTCTAGTGGTGTTACAAAAGATCCAATACCATAGATTATATAATTATTCTGTTGGAGCTGCGCAATCAGGAGATTCTGTTTCCATGCACCGACCGACATTTATTGCTCTTCTGAACTGATATCATTTATTAGTTTGACTGTGTTATAAATCTCTCTTTGTGAACCCAGCTATTCCTATAGCTTAGTATTATTCTCTGACAACAACACAATGGAACAGGAAAGAGATTATATTCCAAATAGTAAGGTTAAATAGAGAAGTAAGAAGCCGAAGCGAAGGTGAAATGCTAGACAACGTTTGTATCTTTATAGTTTTTTACATGAGAAGCTTCTGGAATGTAATCCACGTGATTGACTTAGCGCTAACCGGATTAGATTTAGCCAATCAGCGTGCGGTTAACGACTCGAGAATTTTCCGGACTGCTCTCCAAGTCTCGACCAGGTGCTGATTGGTTAGGAAATTAGCCAATCAGCGAGCAGCTAACGCAATCATGCTTTATTCTATCTATATCCCAGTAATAGACTGCTTTCAGTCTTCGTCGAAATACATACTTGTAGCTATTGTTATATTTCAGGGTATATAAAATCACAATCTCCATAATTCTATAATGAAAAATCATAAAATGTGCTCACCAGTGACTAGCTTCATGAGGAAATTCTCGTAGTTCTAGTGAGAAGCCGTGACCATTGGAGTCCGCTGTTGTAGGATGTAGACAGTAACTACTGAAGATTATGCATGAGGTTGCACAAAATCCTTAGATTGATCAAAATTAGACATTGACATCGTTGGATGCCTGTCTAGTGGTCTAGAGGTTAAGCTTACGCGCTCGAGACCTAAGATTCCGGGTTCGATTGTTGCCGATAGTGAGAGTCGTGATGCGTACTGCCGCCGAGTCCCATCCTAAGGACGAAACGGCCGTCCAGTGCTTGTGTTTCTAATGGTGGTCCAACGATGATTAATTCCTTATTTCAATATAGAAGATTATAGTATTTTTCGTGGTTTAAATCACAAACTAATTGTAGATAGACCAATGTTTTGAAAACCTAGATACAATGGACGACCGTTTCATTTTAGTCTGGCACTTCTCAACACTCCTGACCCAAAATGTCTAGACCGCTGAGCCGGCATCCATCTATCTATCTATCTATCTATCGACTTGTTGGTTATGTTTAACTTATTGAAAAAGAGCATGACGCATGATCTACGCTTGACTGTGATATCTAGAATTATTGTAACGCTTGCTTAGATAATTCCCGGTTAAATCCTATCGCTTAGTATTCTCTGACACAAAACACTGGACAAGTTCCCAAGAATCAAAACACTTTTGAACAGGAAAGATTATATTCCAAAATAGCAAGGAATAAGAAGCCAGAGGTGATGGCGAAGGCCAAGGCAAGAAGGCAAAAATAAATACAACGTTAGTCTATTTATAGCATTTACATGAGAAAGCTTCTGGAAGAAAATTCACGTGATCGACTGGGTTAGATTTAACCAATCAGCATGCAGCTAACAATACGAGAATTTTCTACCCTGTTCTCCAAGATTCGATTAGGCGCTGATTGGGTATGAAATTAACCAATCAGCGCACAGCAACGTAGTCATGCTTTAATTCCATCTATGTCACACCAACACCTCCCCTTTGAGAAGATTCGTAGGATCTGGTGCTAGGGTCCAACTGCAACCGAGAAACTGGCTTGTACTTTCGATTAGTCCATCTTCTCGGCAATAAGGAAGTTGTGTCACTCTTTGCTTGCACAGAAACTGACTTGTGTGTTCCAGGCGTTTTGATTTCGAAGGCGTCCAGCAAAACGTCAAGGGGTATTCGGTGCCGAGTCTCGTTACTGGCGATCGAAGTTGCTTTCAGTTGGTTAGCATGACGTACCCAAACCTCTGAGCCAACTGACACCTTATAAATCACATTCCCTTTCTTTTTTAAAATCCGATCAGCTGTCCATGCAGGATGTTTTCCACGATAGTCCATAGCAAGTACTTTCTGACCCACTGTGAACGATCGTCTTTTTGCCCCATGGTGTCGATTGAACTGCTTCTCCATCGACTGGTTTCGCTGAGGCTCAAGAGCTGGTGTAGGAGACGGATGACATCAAAATGTGTTCGTAATTTTCTACCAAGTAGAGCTTCCTCAGGTGAGACTCCGTCAATCGTCTGAGGGTTCGGTGTAGAGCGATAAATAAGCAGGAATCTCTTTAAGATCTCTTCGGTAGTTATGCTTTAATTCCATCTATGTCCCACTAACAAGAATTTATAACTAAACAACAGAGAGAGTGTGTGTGTATGTGAACTGTTACTGACTGAGTTTCAATCTTTCGTTGTATATTTTCGGTGTTGTTATTCAATTTTTAGGTACAACCATTGGTGCTGGTTCCGGTCAATCATTGAATCCCGTGATGACTGACTAACTGAATGAATAAATGAATGAATCGATCCCGTGAATGAATGGATCAATGCACACACAAACACACACACACCCAACAGAGACACACACAACAAGAAAGCATTGTTCACACAACAACATCATGTCAGTATAATAATAACAATAATAATATTGTTGTTGATTTTGATGTTGTCATTAAGGTTGTCGTTATTATTATTATTACTATTTTGTGCAACTGGCCAAAACAATAATTCCAATTGTCCCCTGTCTCTCTCTCTCTCTCTCTGTATCCTTCAATCATTTGAACATCATGTCCCCGCCCCATGGATTTGGCTTTTTATTGTTTTGGTCATTCAAATTGATGATGATGTGTAAATTAGTTTCTTCTCAATTTTTGTCATCACCTATCAGTCAGTCCCTGTTTCCAAATGACTTACTTTATTCTTTGTGTGCCTATCTTGTACACACACACTCATACTGACACAAACACTCTGTCACACACATTGTTAGGGATGCACAAGCATACATACACGTATAACACACATCCACATACTCTCGCTGACTATGCGTAAATTTTTCCAACTATACATATATATTTCTTTTGAAAAATTTAATTTCCCGTTTATATATATATATATCAGAAAAAAGACAGTGATTTTCAAGCCAGAACACTGATTATTATTCGGCTTATTCAATCAATCCGACAATATTTCTTCTCTTCGTGAAGTCAGTTGTCTCTAAGATTCGTCTTAACTGAACTATTATAATCCACACATTCACATGATCGATCCTGTCTGTCTACTGCCTGTTGTCGTCTCCATCTCTCCGTGAACTATTCATCTCACACTGTACCACTCTCATTGTCGTCATCATCATCATCATCATCAACACTGTCGTTATCATGTACGCATTTCTCCATTGATTGGTTGATGCTGCACTGTGTACTTGTATTCGAACTTGTGTACGCATTGATTTTCTCTTTTGATACTTACTGTTCACATTGATTATTATTGACTTTTCCAATGAAGTTATTTAATAAGTTTTGGCATGATCATTCTATATATACAAACATATATATATATATACCTATATATGTAAGCATATATTTCTGTTGATATTTATTTGAAGAAGTGAATTATTATTATTATTCCTTGTACAAAATATAAAATTTTTTTTGGTTTCCTTAAAATAGAGTGAGTAAATTAATAACAATAATTATTATTATTATTCAGAGAGAAAATAAAATCAATTGACTTTTTTTTCATGATAATAATAGATTTCCATTTCATCAATCAGCTGTGTTGTTGCTTTTCTTTTCTCTTTTTTTTCTTTGCCTTCTTTTTGCATATTTTGTGTTGTTGTTGTTGTTCTTGTTGTTGACAGTGTTATCGGCGGTCCGTGTTTAATAATATACTGAATGAAAATATGATGTTGAGCATTTCATGTTGATCTTATCGAATTTTTTTTTGTGTGATTCGGTGATCCGTCGCATTGTTTTTTTCACTTAACTCACGATACTACTTATAAGTAGTTTAAAATTAATGCGATATAAATTCGAACTGGTGAATAGATTGTGCAAATAATTTGAAGTTGTAAAATTAAGTCTACGTATTTGCACAATTCTAATTTGAAAAAAACAGCATTCTCAATAATAGGTGTATGAGGTTTTTTTAACCTGAAAGAAATCTGTTATTTCGTACAGTTGATTCATTTATGAACGTAAATAAACCAAGAATAACAGTAATTTAAAACTATAGTCAACTCAGTACATTGCATACTTTCGTTATCAGTTACATACAGGTTAATAAGTTGCATTGTTTCAAAATATTAACGTAAAATATCCCCAAAAACTTGTGTTTGAAGAAGAATGCGTAAATGGAGGCCTGATTCAGGCAAGTTGGTTACCATGATTTATGAGCAGATATGATACCACTGAACGGAGAAGTTGATTCGGCTGAAAAGAAACGTGTATTCATCCAACTAATCTTCTATTACTTTATTTATTGTACGAAAAATCAAAGACTGAAAACAGCTCTAAATGACACAGTTCATACAACAACACCAAACTCAATAGCGCAAACCAAAGTAGATAAGTATTATTGTCTAACCGAACTTACAGTAGCATCCACTTATTTATGTGTACATAAAATACAAGTACATTGAATGAACAAAAGGTTTGCCCTGTATGAGTTTTTACTAGTATATTCATCATTTCAGACGAGTAGGCAGTGTTCACAGTTCAACCTTGCTCCAACTGTTTAACATGAAACTCGCGACGGATACAAGTGAGCGCTTCACAAAATCAACAAGTAGTACAATTCAGGATGACGTTTCGAGTGATAAAACATACCAATCAGGATTCGATTGTGAATTTATCTTCTGAAATGTTACTTTTCTTAAGCACTAGACTATATATGGACTGTTCATTAAACTGTAATATCTAAAAACATTTTCCAAATATCAATCTATGGTAATAAACATCAGTTTAGGCTGCGTGTTTATTGAAACAAAATAAAACGAAGCTTTCATTACTATAATTAACGCTTGAGTTTCTATTTTTCTCTCATTGGAAACTCATTTGTTTAGAATCGAACACTGAGCGATCTATTTGCATAATCAGTTCATAACTTTTCCTACCCCTACATACCCAACGCAGCACTATTCGACAAGTTATCAACATAACTCAAATTAAGGACACATAATCCATCCGATCGGAATGTGTTTTCGTCAACAGTCGACGACAATGAATGATCATTGAAGGCTTAGAACAATAATATCAATTTACCGGTTAGACATTCTACCAGTTTGTATGTTTAGGTAAAGGAAAAAAGGAACTGATCACTTACTATTTTTTCCTCTCACTTTGTTATGTTCGTCACTTGGTACACTTAAAGCTATTACGAGTTCACCTTAGTCGATAAACGTGAACGAGACAATTACCAGCGTCCAGTTAGGCTACCTTGAATACCAAACTGCAAAACAGAAGACTTGATAGGCGTAGAAAGTATATTCTACAAACACCCAGCAATCACAATACAGTACAATCAAGCACACAACTCTCGTTTATTTATACATCATAGAAACGTCCTTGGGACATTTACACAAAATAGCACACTAAAATGCACAGCAGCCAGTCACAGCCATGGCAAAAAAAGTCTCAATATATATATACATGGTGACATTGTTCAGATTTAAAAATCTTTTTATTGAAACCACACTTGAGTGAAACACAATTTCTTCATATATATATATATATATATATATATATATATATATGTTTAAGGAGGATTTACAGCTTGTATTCATATAAAACTTCGTGTACTGAAAAGATCATTGACAATTCAGTTAAAAATTTGGAAAAATAAAACATGACAGACATAAAGTTTAATAACTGATTTGAATTGAAGTAATCCATTTGAAGTGGTATGAAGTTTTATGAGTTATATGTAAAAAGACAATAATCCCTATCATCTTCATCATCAACAGCAACGTAGAACTTTGCACGTAAGTACAGCAGTTCAAGTTCCCATACCACGTTAGCACACAAATATATTTGTCAATTTCAATCCCATAGTAGTAGATGTAGTAAAAGTATTGGAAGTAATCGGAGAGATTAGGGTTCGAAGATGTTATTCAAGGAGGATTATTGAGTGAGGTAAATTTAGAAAGAGAAAGATAGAGGTGATGAGTAATTCAGAAAGTTAGGATTTCATAGAACACAGAGTAAATGCACCGGTCCCATTGCAAACGGTTTTGAGCCATGTCATTCAGGGTATCTAACCATCGATTATTATCATCTCGCGGACCCCAACCAGGTAGTCAACACATACCAACATGACTCAGTCCACTTGTCAGTGACTTAGTGGATTCCTGCCATGTTTTTTAGTTTGGCCGCCCTTAGCTTTCGTCCAACCAACTCTTAAACCACAAAACATAGCTCTACGAGGCAGTCGGTGGTTAGGTATACGTAACACATCACAAGCATCTCAAATGATGAAGTTTCCCTACTTCATCAATTGATCTGCCATCCTTACATAGCGGCCGATTCCTAATGACAGCATTGCTTACTCGGTTGTCCCACGATACTCCAACAATGCTTCGAAGACACCTATGATTGAAAACCAGTAACCTACGAATATCTTCTACTCTGACTGGCCATGTTTCACATCCATAAAGTAAGACGGATCGAACTACTGCACAGTACACTTGTCCTTTAGTCAGCAAACGGATATCTCGCCTTCGCCTTAAGTTGGGATGTGGAGATTGTTGAGTTTCACTGAATTTATTAGTCAACCAATGTTAGATCACCAGTGGAGACTTCGAGGTACTAGACGGCTGTTTCATCCTAGTAGTGCCTATCGAAGACGCCTCATGAGCTAATCGGGACCCAGAACTTCTAGACTACTTAGTCAGCATTCAAAGGTGTTAATGTCTGTATTTCAATCAATCCATCATACTGCGTAACTTTCATCTATTGAATGCAAAGGATAACTGTCTCCTATTCGACATGTATTTGAACTTTACCGGTCACACATTCCCACTGGAACTCCAGGAATTCATCGTGAAGCTAGTCACTACTGAACACACGATTGTTAATAATGAGGAGGATTCATGGAGATTATATTATTTTCTTCGTCAAAATCATGAAACGGTCTAACGATATCTATTGATATTCATTTGATTGAGAAGTTATTGAAGTTCGTTATTTTGACGGATGCATTCAGAAAAGGAAGCCATTTAACATTTAAAACGCATTTGGTAAAATATCAGGCTTTCCAGCCATGAACAACCAATTCTCTTCTAACATTCTAAACCTTTTGATGAGTAGCACTTAATAATTCTTAGGCCACTCAGTTAGCAGTGAATAGTTTACATTTCAAACTAGATCAGTTTACCAACATCTAGTTGTATTGAAGATAACTGTTTCACTCTATTGATCACAAATTTACTCTGACGTTTAAGCCATCTCTTCCCAAATGAACCATTATTGAAGAACTTACTTACTTACGCCTGTTACCTCCAATGGGGTATAGGTCGCCATCCAGTTGTCTCCAACCTACTCTGTCCTAGGCTTCGCTTTCCAGTTCTGTCCAATTTTTGTTCATTCCTCTCATATCTGTCTGGACGTAATGTGTCCCTTGGCCTTCCTCTTTTCCTTTGACCTTGACGGTTCCAAGTGAGGGCTTGTCTTGTAACTCAGTTGAGTGCTTTCCTCAATGTGTGTCCTAGCCACTTCCACCGCTTCTTCCTCCTCCACTGTAATCTGACTTGTTCTCTTCCACAGTACGTTGTTGCTGATGATGTCTATCTATGATCAACGGACGTCCACATCCACCTGAGCTACAAATTGTCTCCACCATTTCAAAAGCTTATATACAACATAATCAATATAACATGAAATATCTAGTGAATATTAAATACGCTATTGATAAACTACAATAGATTGTCACAAATACACATTAATTGATTGCACTATAAAAACGGAACACAGTTAACTGTTATTAACTGTCATTATTTATTTAACTATGATTGTATGTTTATCAAATATATAAAATATTTGTTTATGTACTATTTACTATAAAATAAAACACAACATACAATGAATAGAGAGACAGATAGACATCAGTAGTGGTAGTAGTAGTAGTAGTCAAATAATCATTTCTAATGCAGGAAGAAATAATTTATCCCAAATCGCGTACAAACAGGTGTCTTTTTGAAATTCAGACAAATATTTTTAATGAAAATAAATCACTGCAATAAAATACTACTAATCAAAACAATTTGTAGTTCACTATTGAACAATGAAATGTAATTGTACTATTACTTGTTGTGTGTGTGCGTGTGTTAAGTAAGCCCTCATAGCTTATCCTACAAGCTTTTGAAAGGGAAAAACAATGCAAACTAAATTAACTATTTCTATCTGGCGTACTTAATCACACGTCATTTGACTTACTTACTTACTTACTTACTTACCTGTTACCCCCAATGGAGCACAGGCCGCCCACCAGTTTTCTCCAACCAACTCTGTCCTGGGCTTCCCTCTCCAGTTCTGTCCAATGTTTGTTCATTCTCCTTATGTATTTCTCTATACACGTCATTTGAGCTTGTCTATTATTCTCACACATGTTATCCTTGGTTATTGATGACTTCGCTTATTACAGGTCTGGCTTATTTTTTTATCTGACTGTAAGTATGTAGTCGTACCTCATCACAATGAGTTAGCTCACTTGCTCGCCTTCTCCATTTTTCTTCGCTTTACTGT